CAATGTCAATTGTTATCATCTGTCTTCTTAGTTCTTACGCTTTTATTGCCCTCTCTTTTAATAGTAGATTTTCTCGTAATCTCTAACACTCAGTAACCTCTTACGTCCTAGTGGCTTTATTGCCTTATTCAAAATTTAAAAAATGTCAAACGCAATAATCGTTATCATCTGTCTTCTTAGTTCTTACGCTTTTTATTGCCCTCTCTCTTTAATAGTAGATTTTCTCGTAATCTCTAACACTCAGTAACCTCTTACGTCCTAGTGGCTTTATTGCCTTTGATATTCAAAAATTTAAACGCAATGTCAATCGTTATCATCTGTCTTCTTAGTTCTTACGCTTTTATTGCCCTCTCTCTTTAATAGTAGATTTTCTCGTAATCTCTAATGCTAAGTAACCTCTTGCGTCCTAGTGGCTTTATTGCCTTTGATATTCAAAAATTTAAATGCAATGTCAATTGTTATCATCTGTCTTCTTAGTTCTTACGCTTTTATTGCCCTCTCTCTTTAATAGTAGATTTTCTCGTAATCTCTAACACTCAGTAACCTCTTACGTCCTAGTGGCTTTATTGCCTTTGATATTCAAAAATTTAAACGCAATGTCAATCGTTATCATCTGTCTTCTTAGTTCTTACGCTTTTATTGCCCTCTCTCTTTAATAGTAGATTTTCTCGTAATCTCTAACACTCAGTAACCTCTTACGTCCTAGTGGCTTTATTGCCTTTGATATTCAAAAATTTAAACGCAATGTCAATCGTTATCATCTGTCTTCTTAGTTCTTACGCTTTTATTGCCCTCTCTCTTTAATAGTAGATTTTCTCGTAATCTCAGTAACAGTGGCTTTATTGTCAAAAAAATTTAAATGCAATGTCAATTGTTATCATCTGTCCTTAGTTCTTACGCTTTTTGTTGCCCTCTCTTTTAATAGTAGATTTTCTCGTAATCTCTAACACTCAGTAACCTCTTACGTCCTAGTGGCTTTATTACCTTTGATATTCAAAAATTTAAACGCAATGTCAATCGTTATCATCTGTCTTCTTAGTTCTTACGCTTTTATTGCCCTCTCTTTAATAGTAGATTTTCTCGTAATCTCTAACACTCAGTAACCTCTTACGTCCTAGTGGCTTTATTGCCTTTGATATTCAAAAATTTAAACGCAATGTCAATCGTTATCATCTGTCTTCTTAGTTCTTACGCTTTTATTGCCCTCTCTTTTAATAGTAGATTTTCTCGTAATCTCTAACGCTCAGTAACCTCTTGCGTCCTAGTGGCTTTATTGCCTTTGATATTCAAAAATTTAAAATGCAATGTCAATTGTTATCATCTGTCTTCTTAGTTCTTACGCTTTTATGCCCTCTCTCTTTAATAGTAGATTTTCTCGTAATCTCTAACACTCAGTAACCTCTTACGTCCTAGTGGCTTTATTGCCTTTGATATTCAAAATTTAAATGCAATGTCAATTGTTATCATCTGTCTTCTTAGTTCTTACCTTTTATTGCCCTCTCTCTTTAATAGTAGATTTTCTCGTAATCTCTAACACTCAGTAACCTCTTACGTCCTAGTGGCTTTATTGCCTTTGATATTCAAAATTTAAATGCAATGTCAATTGTTATCATCTGTCTTCTTAGTTCTTACGCTTTTATTGCCCTCTCTCTTTAATAGTAGATTTTCTCGTAATCTCTAACGCTCAGTAACCTCTTACGTCCTAGTGGCTTTATTGCCTTTGATATTCAAAAATTTAAATGCAATGTCAATTGTTATCATCTGTCTTCTTAGTTCTTACGCTTTTATTGCCCTCTCTCTTTAATAGTAGATTTTCTCGTAATCTCTAACACTCAGTAACCTCTTACGTCCTAGTGGCTTTATTGCCTTTGATATTCAAAAATTTAAATGCAATGTCAATTGTTATCATCTGTCTTCTTAGTTCTTACGCTTTTATTGCCCTCTCTCTTTAATAGTAGATTTTCTCGTAATCTCTAACACTCAGTAACCTCTTACGTCCTAGTGGCTTTATTGCCTTTGATATTCAAAAATTTAAACGCAATGATAATCGTTATCATCTGTCTTCTTAGTTCTTACGCTTTTATTGCCCTCTCTCTTTAATAGTAGATTTTCTCGTAATCTCTAATGCTCAGTAACCTCTTGCGTCCTAGTGGCTTTATTGCCTTTGATATTCAAAAATTTAAATGCAATGTCAATTGTTATCATCTGTCTTCTTAGTTCTTACGCTTTTGTTGCCCTCTCTCTTTAATAGTAGTTGTTCCTATTGTCTACCCCCTTTCCTTGTATTTTTCTTTTTCTTCCTTCCACTCCTTCCATTATTATTACTTCTCCCTATATTCTTTAATTGCTACTTCACCTTTTCCTTTGTCTTCTCCTGCCATTTCTTTTTCTTCTTTTTTGTCTTTTTCTTCTTAAATTTTATTAATTCTTCTTTCTATTACTACTCTTTTTTTCCTTTGCCTTCTCCTTTCATTTCTTCTATTATGCATTCTACTTTTATCTCATTCGTCCTTTCTTCTTCTTCTTCTTCCTCCTTCTTCTATGAAAAGAGTGGAGGATGCTTTTTACTCAACGGCCATCTATTACAATTTTCCTGGTGAGTCTTTTTTAGCCATTGGCTAAGAGAAAGACACTCTGTAAGACCTACGACCCGGGGCCTTTATTGTCATCGCCCCAGCTTGCTAGACCATGATAGATCAAATACCGGGTATAAAGGATGGAAGATGTTCAGCGCACACTGCACTTCACCCAAAAACTCCACTGCGCTGGCCTGATGGATACATTCGCGTCCACCAACCATTTCCAAGCCCTATAGTGATGGGAAAGGGGCGACACTGCAGGTAATAGATGACACTGGAAGTTTTAGTCCCAATCCTCCATGCAGTGGGGGTAGGATATTAGTCGTCTGATGTTGACCTGGGGATGACAACATCATTCGGCAGCACCCTGATTGGCCAAGCAGCCTTCTCTAGGTACAGCACTGTTTACTCCATATGGAAAGAGGTCTAGAAAAGGTGGTCCAAATAAAGCTCGTCTCCTACATTACCCAGTTAACTAACCGCGGTCACGGGTCTCTTTTCGTGTGGTTGAACATCAGTAAGGGTTCACACTCACCTGCAAGCGTATCAAAGGACTACATATAGCATGTTGGAACATCAGAACTATGCTGGACACACCCGACAGTGTTCGACCAGAACGTTACTCCGCTCTAATTGCAAGACTAAATGTTGACATCGCTGCTCTCTGTAAAGTCCCTTTCCCAGAGGAAGGCGGCATATAAGAGCACGGTGCCGGATCTTCTTGTCTGGCAATTCAGTAGCGGAGAATCGTCTTTCGGGCGTAGGTTTCATGATCAAGGATATTATTGCCTCCAAGCTTGAAAACCTGCCAAGAGGTTATTCTGACCGCATCATCTCGATGCGCCTCCCACTGAGTAATCTTCAACATGCCACACTAATTAGTGTGTACTCCCCAACTTTACAAGCAGATCCTGTGGAAAAAGATAACTTTTACTCAGATCTGCGCAGCCTACTACGAGCCGCCTCTGCAAATGATAGGGTTATAATCCTTGGCAATTTCAACGCCAGAGTGGGTCAAGATTTTATGGTCTGGGGGGAGAGTACTTGAAAGACATGGTGTTGGTAACTGTAACGACAACAGGCGCTTGCTGCTAGAGTTCTGCGCAGAGCATCACCTCGTCATCACGAACACCATCACCCAACAGAAAAACAGATTAAAAACAACCTGAATATTTCCTCGGTCTAAACATTGGCACCTCATTGACTATGTCATATTGCACTAGCGTGACCTGAAAGCCATCATGCTCGCCAAAATGATGCCCAGTGAAGAATGTCATAACGCTCATCGCCTTTTTCGCTGCAAACTCAAGCTCTGCTTTAAACACAAACCAAGAAAAGTTAAAAAGTTCAAGGTTGACAGTCTTAAATCAGATGAAATGAAAGCTAACTTCCAAGCAGCACTTGAGAAAAGTCTTGAAAATGCGAATGTCCCCACAGATTCCTCTCCTGAAGCACTTTGGGGAAAACTCAAAACTGTCATTCTGCAGACATCTATAGAAATTCTTGGTTTCTTCTCAAGGAAGAAGACTGGTTTGGTGATAGCAATGTTGAAATCCAAAAACTACTGGCGATGAAGAAATGAACTCATCAGGCCCACTTAGCTCAGCCAGTTTATCCTGTAAAGAAAGCCGCGTTCCGTTTCGTATGCCGTGACCTCCAGCACAGGCTTCGAAAGATTAAGAACGAGTGGTGGATCAAACTCACTGAAAAAACTCAGCTGTATACAGACACTGGAAACATAAAGGGCTTCTATGTAGCTTTAAAGACATAGTTCTATGCACAGTGTAAATAGTCAGACGCTCTTTACAAACAAGGTGTTCATCCTAAACCGTTGGAAGGGACATTTCCAGGTCCTCTTCAGTTCTAATCGTTTAGTCCAGAAACCAGTAATTCTCCGCATACCCCAATGACCATAAAAATGGAAGTAGATGATTTACCAACCATTGAAAAGACTATCAAAGCCATAAAGCAGCTGAAGTGTGACAAAGCAGCGGGAGTCGATGGAGTCCAACCTGAAATCTGGAAACATGTGGATCCGGTATTGCATATGAAACTCTACGAGCACTTTTGCTGTTGTCGGAAACAGTGAAAACTGACACAAGATCTCTCTGATGAAGTCATTGCCCTGTACAAGAACAGGGGAGAAAATCTGACTGCGCCAATTACCCAGGGATTACTTTGCTCTCAATCGCAAGAAAAATCCTTGCAAGAATTCTGCTGAACATACTGGTATTTGCCATCGCTGAAGAGCAGTTTCCAGAGAGCCAGTGCGACTTCAGAACCAATAGGAGCACAACAGACGTGGTGTTTATCCTCCGACAGCTGCAGGAGAAGTGTCAAGAGCAAAATAAGGGGCTGCATTTGGCGTTTGTTGATCTGACAAAAGCATTCGACGCAGTGAGTAGAAGAATATGGCAGATCATGGAGCGACTCGGCTGTCTTTCAAAGTTCTTGAACATGATCACCCAGATGTATGAAGATCAATGTGGCCAAGTTAGTCACAAACGTGATCTCTCAGAGCCCTTCTCGATCACCAAGAGTGTAAAGGAGGGTTGTGTTCTGGGACCGACTCTTTTCGTTATCTTCTTTAGCATGATGCTCAAAGAAGCCGCAAAAGATCTTGATGATGGGGACGCAATCTATATCAGATACCGTTTCGATGGTGGCCTGTCTAACCTACGATGATTAAAAGCCCACACGAAGACCCTGGAGCAACTGATCCGAGACCTCTGCATTGCGATGATGCTGCCCTTGTTGCCCACACAGGAGATTTACATCGCACCACTCCCTGCTTCATAGAGACTGCCAAACTTTTAGGACTTGAAGTCAGGTACTCTATCAACCTGCGCCTTGAGATGAGTACCCCCCCCTTATCATAATTGGTACGACTGAGCTAAAGGCTATCCATCGGTTTACTTACCTTGAATGTAGCATCACGTCAAATGTTGGGATCGACAAGGAGGTTGACAACAAACTGGCAAGAGCGAGTACTGCATTTGGCAGACTGTACAAACGTGTGTGGTACAACAGACACCTGAATAAGGGCACTAAGATTAGAGTGTATAGAGTTATCGTTCTCGCCACTTTCCTATCCGACTCAGAGTCATGGGTCACTTACCGACACCACCTACAACTCCTTGAACGGTTCTACCAGCGCTACCTCAGCACAGTCCTTAACATCCAGTGGAGTGACTTCGTCACCAATATTGAAGTCATTGAAAAAACAAAGCTCACCAGTATTGAGACCATGCTGCTGAAGTCCCAGCCTGCTTAAAATTTTACTCTACGACGAGCTCTCTACTGGCTATCGCAGCAGAGGGGCACCAAAGAAGCGATTCAAAGACTGTTTGAAAAAATTCTTTGTTTGTCATATCGACCATTGCCAATGGGCAACCCTAGATGAGAACCGTAGCGCCTGGTCTCTCACCGCCAACCATGTTGCCTTCTTTTTTGAAAATACCTGCTGGTTCAAGAGGCAGAAGATATGACATCGAGCCCAGGCCGGACTTTCGGCTGCAACCGTGTATGCCTGCCCAGCATTGGACTTGTCAATCACAAATGTGCCTGAAATCGACGTGAACAGACTCTCTATTGATCTTCTTTTTGCGAAGCCAAGCCATGATGACGATGATTCTTTTCCTTTGTCTACACCTTCGATTTCTTTTTTCTTCTTCTTCCTCTACTTCTTACTCTTCTTTGGCCATGATTATTATTATTATTTCTTTCTATTTTTTCTATTAGTATTCCTTCTTTTCCTTCCTCTACAACTTCTATTATTAAAACTTATTCATATATATTTTTCCACTTCCTTCTTTTCTTTTCTCTTTTCTTTTTGTTCATTTTTTTTTTTTTTTTTTGCCTTGACATACCTCAAAACTATGTTACATATCGCCAGGAGTAAATCAACCCCCGTAAAACAACAGATATCGTATGATCTGCACAAATTAAGGAACAAGCAAAAAGAATCTCGTGTAAAACGTTCATTAGCCAATGCTTAATCTAATATTGACCATTAAAATGTTTCTTCGTTTTTTATCGTTTCAGGTGGGTTATAACAGCTACTGGATTCTGGAAACCAAACGTAGCAAATTTTCCAGGACACGAATTAGTCCAAGGCTATGAATCTATATCTACAGATCCTGATGATTACGAGGGAAAATCAGTCCTTATTCTTGGTAAATATAAAAACGAGAAGTTCAATCTGAAAAAATATTCTTGTAGATAATCAGCTTTAGATTGACATACAAGAATATACGCTTGATTTTCTTACTGCTTTAATTAAGCCGTTGGTATTATCTCTAACACATCAAAATATTTATAATATTAACGAAAATTACAGAGGAGCATAAAATTATCCATACGGTAAAATCTATTTCATTTCAAATAATATAATTCCGATATATTATGTATATAATACTAAAACTCTATAATTTTGTATGCATGTATGTTTGTTTCCCGGGATACAGCTTAAACGATGCATAATAGAACAATTAATTTAGGAGAATATTGTATCTTGAATCCCTGCCGAGTGCAGAGCTAAATTTCACTTAAACAATGGATTCTTGGGCTAGGACCGTTTCTCTATTTCTACGACATTTTTAATCAGAAATTCAGTATGTTTTCGATTTACATTCTTATATCAATCCGCGTATATAAACAAACTTGAATATTATATTCAAACTATTATGTTTGTGAAAACTGATAAACATTTATAATACGTTATAAGAACATTGTTAAATAAATTTAAATGTACATAACACGACATATTTATACAATTCACTAGACTACTTTGGAACTTTTTATGAACAAATATCTTGGATGTTTAGCAACTACTCATTGTAAAACGTAATCGGTATTGTTGTGTTACGTGACTTGATGGTAAATAAATAAACAGATGCACGTCGGTGTACCGCCATTACGTATTTTGAAATAAATCTGTAGAAGAAACAAGTATGTATAATAAAAAATATAATTATTAATCCGAAAAAAATTACCTAGAAAAAATACGAAACTAAGTGCACAGAAAGGAGACATCAATACCTTGTTATTCCAATGAATATAAATCTTCCTAAGCAGACGATTGCTGTTTATTTTTGGAATAACCTTCATCATTCAAAATTATAATACAGTAAATACTAAAATTGGTATAAATTGTTACCCCGGGGTAACTATTACTTGAATGTTAAGGCTTTTTAGTGTGATATCAGTTTGCAATTCTATTCTAAAAAAAAAATATAAAATTTTTCTTATTACCGTATTTGACGGCATATAAGACGTGCGGATGTATAAGACGCACCCCTATTCCAGCAGGACAAATCAAGTAAAAATTAGACATTAGTAAAATTAGTAAAATTATTAGTAAATGGTACAGCCGAGGCTATATTTATGAGGTATTATTTTGGTTAAACAAGCCATGATTACAATTTAACGAAAAATTAATGGGAAAAAAGAACACGAGCCGATAAAAACTTTATTATATCCTTGATATGATCTGTACAACCTGCGTCTTGTAAACATCTTAGTGGAATAATTAGGATATAAAAATTCTGATTGTATTTAAACCAATGCAACCGGAAGTTATTGCAAGAAAATTATTAATGAAACAAATATATTTTACGAATATATAATTTGAATTTATTGCATATAATTTTAGTGAAACAAAGTACTAATATTAAATGTGATGAAATTAATATAATGAATATTATCAATGATAATGCTTTTAATCTGCATAATAGACTTTTAAATAATGACAATATGTATATGAAAGTTAATGTCTAAGCTAATAGGAGTTGCAGGGTTGCTAATTTCGGCCGACTATCGCCAATTTTAAACCTACATACGGCATATAAGACGCAAGGGAATTTGAAAAGATATTTTTAGTAAAAAAGTACGCCTTATATGCCGTCAAATACGGTACTTTCTTATTGCGTTTAATCTAATTAATATAGTATAATGTGAGTAATAATAATTATTACAATAACTTTTATTGCAAATAATGATTAAAATATGTGTAATGAATAATGAAATTGATAATATTGTTACATTATCATTTTGTATTATGAACTGCTTTTAAAAGGTACCCAACATAAAAGTCAGAACCGGATATTGGTTGCTTTTATGATTTCAGTTGTCATTTTTAATATTCTGCATCTCTGTTTACATTCTCAAAACCAGCTTCTTTATTTTTTCTAATCAATATTTTAATTTTTTTCAAATCAACCTATTTTTTTCTTTCATTCTTTCTTTTATTTTTCTTTCTTTTATTTTTCTTTCTTTCTTTTCTTCATTTCATACTTTCTTTTATTTTTCTTTCTTTTTTCTTTCTTTCTTTTATTTTTCTTTCTTTCATTATTTCTTCCTTTTTTCTTTCATCCTTTTATTTCATTCTTTCTTGTTTTCCTTTCTTTTGTTCTTTCATTCTTTCTTCAGTCCTTTCTTTAATTTTTTCTTTCTTTCATTCTTTCTTTTATTTTTCTTTCTTTTCTTTATTTCATTCTTTCTTTTTTTCTTTCTTTCTTTCATTATTTCTTCCTTTTTTCTTTCATTCTTTCTTTTATTTCATTTTGTCTTGCTTTTCTTTCTTTTATCCTTTCATTCTTTCTTTCTTCAGTTCCTTCTTTAATTTTTTGTTTCATTCCTTATTTCTTTCTCGCTTTCTTTCTTCTTTTTCTTACATTCTTTATTTCATTTTTTTCTTTCATTATACCATTCTTTCTTTCTTTGATTCTTTCTTCCTTTCTTTCATTCTTTTATTTAATTCTGTACTTTCTTTCATTCATTCATTCTTTATTTATTTATTTATTTATTTCTCTCTTTCTTTTCTTTCATTCTTTCTTCTATGTTATGTCATTTTGGGGCGTGGCCAATCAAGTTTTGGCACAACTTCCTATCCTTTGTAGCTCTTAGTAAGGTTTGACTTTTCACCATCCCTCTCGCTTCCTATTCTGGCAACCATTTGCACAAGCTCGTTAAAGATTATTCGCTGCTCTCATCTGCCCTTCTTGCCTTGAATATGTCCTCTGAGTGACAGATTCTCCAAACCCTCTTTCCACATAGAAATTTCAACTGGCTCTTTCTCATAATAAGATTATAAAATATTTGACCTTTTTATTTCCATCTTCCTTAAAACTTACTCGTTGCTTACACAATCATTCCGTTGTATTCTCAGCAGCCTTCTATAGAATATATGTAGAACCATATTTTTTCTGTTCGGCTATAAGGCTTCTTTTCAGCTGTGATAAAATTGACCAGCATTTATTAACATATTGGAAGACCGATATTACATGACAAGTCAACATTCTTTACTTTCTTTCTAACGAAATTTCCCTGTTTCGTAATACTTTGCCTAGCTTTTGGAAGGCATCTTTCGCTATCTCAAGACGCCTTCAGACTTCGGCTTCACATTTTTCACCCTCTGTTAAAACATTTCCTAGATATTTAAATTTTGTGTACTTGCTTGATTTTGATATCTCCAATTTGTAATTCGCATCTTGGCATTTTACTCTTGCTGACAACCATATATTCTCTCTTCTTACAATCGATATTTAGTCCTTTCTTTTTACTTTCCTTTACTACCATCTATAGGAGTACCTGCAGTTTCCTTTCTGTCTTTGCTTTCAATACTGTGCCATAACTATATGTTAAGATCGTATCTGCCAATAATAAATACTGGTAAAGGTTGAATAAGTCCGGTAAGAAGACAAATCCTTGCATTCCTCCTTTTTCTATTTTTATGTATTAATTGAATTCATATTCTATCTATATGCAGGCGGTTTGCTTCCAGTATAAATTCTGAATTATTCTAATATCCTTACCACATAAATCAAGTTTACCTAACTGTTCAAACAGTTCTTTGTGACGTACTTTATCAAACGCTTTTGCATAATCTATAAAACATAGGTATACATCCTTTTGCATTTGTATGGGATAAATAGCAAAACTTTATAGCAATCTACAAACAACAAATAAAAGCAATCTACAGAGAGCCACGACCACTTATACCCGGGAATGATATGGCATTAAAAATACACAGCTTATATACGTCTAGAACACGGGAAGAAGAAAAGCATGGAAGATTTTTAGCGTCGATTATGCAGGTTGATAGGGTTTGAATGTTTTGAAAATCAGTTTTTGAAGTCCTGGTTGTTTTACGTCATGATGAGCAAGCAAAGCTCGAATAGTGCTTTTTAAAGCACGTCAGATCTAATGACAGTCTCACATCGGGGGACGCAGGTTCGAATCCTACCGGAGAGCACATATTTTTCTAATAAGATTTTTCAAATATTCCAGCCAGTAAATGAAAAATAAATAAATATACTGTTTAATAAATAAACAGAGCGTCTACTCAAATATGGGTATCCTCTAAAAATAACTTTTAACAGTGGTATGAAATGAGAAGCTCTCTTGTTCAACAAGCAGTCACTGTCTGTCTGATATGTGGAGTGAAAAAAAGTTGTGTCGTATAAATCTGTCTACGGGGCGTGGTCTCTCCTTTGAAATTCAGCATACCACACACTACCTTTTGTGATGACTGAACACCGACCATGGGTTCTGCTAGGGAATGACTAGCGTTCTCAAACCAATAATCGTGTGACACACACATATAAACTTGATCTTGTTTATTACAGTCCTAATTCTTCTCAAATAATTTTTGTCAGATTCGTAAAGCCATTTTTTGTTCTTGATAATTTTGTTAATTATCTTTTTACGTTTTATTGTTGTATAATATGTTCAACCAATTTTCCCGACTCCCAAAGCCGTGTTCTTGATTTTCAATAACTTTACTATACTTTGATCCCTCGAGTTTATGTTATCAGGTTATATTAAAAAAGAAACGCGTATGTTAACTTTCTTTTCATCATTTAACCCCAAGCAAGGCGATAAAGCCACTAAGACGCAACGGAGTTACTGAGTGTGAAAGAATATGAGAAAAAGAAAAAGGAGAGAGAAGAATAAAAGAACAGGAATTAAGAAAACAAAAACTAACGATTGACAATGCATTTAAGTTTTTGAAGGTCAAAGTTGAACAGCAAGAAACCAGAAGAGAGTTCCAGAAGTCGAAAAGCAAGAAGCCAAAATAGAGTTCCAGAAGTCGGAAAGCAAGAAACCAGAAAAGAGTTCCAGGAGTCGGAAAGCAAGAAGCCAAAATAGAGTTCCAGAAGTCGGAAAGCAAGAAACCAGAAAAGAGTTCCAGAAGTCGGAAAGCAAGAAGCCAAAATAGAGTTCCAGAAGTTGGAAAGCAAGAAGCCAGAAGAGAATTCCAGAAGTTGAAAAGCAAGAAGTCAGAAGATTTCCACAAGCGAGAAATGTGAGAAAACAATCTGTTAACAGAGAACTAATGGTTACATCTAGCCATTTCAACTGTAAAATGATTGAGACCTTGCTGCTAATCTCGTATTTTACTTAAATCCATAAAGTCTAGACACCTAAGAGGAAAGCTCATCACAACAATTAACACAAAAATATTTATAGAAAAGGTACAGGGAAGTTACGTTTCGGCGGTGGAAAAGTGACTGAAGCTGAAATGCCAGATCAGAATAAATAACTTTTGATTTTGTCAAGAATCTCTAGCAGAAACACCTGACCACATGTAGCAGCAATATTTCGGACGAATGGTCAACTTATAAACATGTAAGATAGATACTGGCAAAAAAAATATCTAACACAACACAACATTCATAGCAGCAGACCTAACTATTGATTTCCTAACTATTTATGCCAGCGGAAAATGTTATCCCGAAAAGACTGGAGGTTAGCATCAGCCATGTTGATGGAAGGCAAAAAAGGTTTACTCAGACAATTAAATGAGAGAAGTTTTGTTTTGAAGGCTTTAAAATTTAAAAAAATCCATTTTTTGCCCTAGTTAACAAGAGATTAGAGTCCATGTTTTAATCGCAGCTTCCATTCTGACCTTATCAAACCGATCAGAATTACAAGTAAGAAAAGGAGGAAATAGTTGTGTTATTAGCATTGATGGATAACTGAAGATGAAATTGTTAGTGAAGTTCTGTGGGAGCCTATACAAGGAAGATCTAGCAGAGGACAACAAGCCAAGACCTGTATCAATCATATTTATGACGTCATAAAGTGTAATCCCTCTGATATGCCGGATATCGGAACAGTAATATTGGATGACGACAGAGAGTCACAGGTATACATACAGGTAGTGCGACCGGATGATGATGATGGTAGAATGAAATCAAGATGAAAAGCAAGTTCAGCAGCAAGGCAGCTGCTTCCTCCAAAATTATCTTTGTAGAACAAACTCCCTAGAGAATGCTTCCCTAACAACTACCGTCTTGGTCTCTTTAAGTCCAAGGTCAACGATATCTATCCTACATGTCCTTATAAAACTTCCCACTTCCCTCTTCTTTATAATCTCCCTCAGTAACCCTCTGCCTTGAGTGGCCCTTAGGCATTGTATTGGGTGAACTTGCTCAGTCATAACATTTATCAGGAGACAATGATAAAAAGAGTAAGAGAAAGAGAATGAGAGTCGGAGAGCGATAGAGAGTGAAAGAATAAATCAGAATGAGAGAGAGGAAGAGAAAATGTGAAACAAAAAGAACGAGAGAAAAAGAAAGAAAAAGAAAGGAAGCACAAAAGACTAAAAACTAGCAAGTGAGACATGAAGATTGAGGCAGAGATATTAAAACAAAAAGAGAGAAATAGAATGAGCTATAAAGATCATTTCTAGAAGAGAAAAAGAGACAATAAGAGATAGAAACACGCTAAATGATTGATAGTAAAAGTTCGAGAAAAGAAGGGGACATAGAAAGACAAACAGAGAGAGAGAGAGAGAAAGGAAAATGAGACAGATAATGAAAGAAAGACAAAAAACACAATAAAAGAAAGAAAGAAGTAAGAAAGTGATTGATAGCGAAAGACCGAGTGAAGAAGAGAAGTAGAGAAATATGAACAGAAAGAGAGAGAGGGGGAAGACCTTAACAGTGAAAGAAAGATAACTAAATAAAAGAAATAAAGTGATTGAAAGACCAAAAGAAGAAGGAAGACAAAGAAAGAAAGAAAGAAAGAAAGAAAGACCGAGACAGATAGTGAAAAAAATTACAAAGAAAGAAAGAAAGAAAAAAAGAAGAAACTGGTTGATAGCGAAAGATCGAGAGAAAAAGGGAGACAGAGAAAGACAGACACGAAGTGAAAAAGAAAGACCATGAAATATTAACAAAAATAAAGAGAACGCGAGACACCTACAGAGAACAAAATACAAAAAAGAGAAAGACAACGAGAGAGGCAGACAAGAAAAAAGTGGTTCATGGCGAAGCTCAAGAGAATAAGGGAGACAAATACAGAGAGAGCGAGAGAGAGAGAGAGAGAGACAAAGAAAAAAAAAAGTCAGTAAACAAAATCGAAAGAATGATACAACGAGAGAAAAAGAAAAATTGATTATAATCGAAAGACCAAGAAAAGAAAGGAGACAGAGAAAGAAAGACACAGAGCGAGAGAGAAAGATCAACAAAGAAAGTGACAAAAAATAGAGAGTGGGTGAGACGGATAGAGAAATAAAATAATGCAAAAAAGAAAGAATGACAGAGCGAGACAGGAAGTAAAGTGGAGAAAGTGATTGGTTGCGAAATGTCGAGAGAAGAAAAGAGACATAGAAAGGGAAACACAGAGCAAGAGAGATAGACTGAGAAGGAAAAACATAGCAAAAAATAAAGAGCGAGAAACAGATTGAGAAAAGAAGACAGAGAAAGCAAAAAAAAGAAAAGAAAAGAAAAGCAAAAGAAGCGGAAAAGAAGAAAAAGTGGTTGGTAAAGAAAATCCGAGAGAAAAAGAGAGATACGGAAAGAAAAACAAAAAGCGAGAGAGAAACGCCGAAAAAGAAAAATACGGTAAAAGCAAGAAAGAAAGAAAGAAAGAAAGAAAGAAAGAAAGAAAAAAGAGAAAGACAAAAAATACAAAAGAGAGAGAGAGAGAGAATAGATACAAAAATAGCGAGAGAGTTAGAGAGAAAAGAGAGATAAAAAGAAACAGTGATAGTGGAAAACCGAGAGATAAAAGAAGACAGAATGTGGGGGAGAGAGAGAAAGAGATCCAGTCAACCAGTTGTAGAAAGATCCAGTTGACCACCTAGCTGAAACAGGCCGATAAACAGAGAATTGTCCATTTTTATTCTTAATGGACTATCATCCAACTGTTCCAAAATAATCAATCATATAGACGCGTTCTTCGATCGCTTTTCATACAAATGATTATTTTTATGGCGTTCTGCAGGATAGAGGCTGCGAACAAATGCTAATTTCAGATGACTTACCAAAGATAAAAAAATAACACAAAAGAACAAAAATAAACGTGGATAAAATAGCAAGCCGGCCTTTTCTTTACAATCTCGTTCCCAACTTATCCGGGGGATGTATATTTCAAACTTCGCACTGGATGACTGAAGACTGATAATATCGAAACCCTATATATACTATTTTATCTTTTATAGACCGTTTCCCGTCATGATAATGGCTCTCCACAATTTCTTATCCTTTGTAATTCTAAGCAATGCTTGTTCTCTTACTATCTCTTCCAGTTCTTGTTCTGCCATCCAACTCGATAGATAAGTTAGTCGATGTTTCCTTCTGTTCCTCTTGCCTTCAGAATATCCTGTGAGTGACAAATTCACCAAGCCCACTTTCCTCGTGATGTGTACCAGAAATGTCAACTGTCTCTTTCTGATTATAAATACAAGTGACCTTTTTGTTTCCATTTTCTTTCAAATTTCCTCGTTACTTAAAAATTTATAAATTCCATTCGTTGTATTCTCAGCATCTTTCTGTCGAACCACATCTCTGTTCCCTCAAGTATTTTCTTCATTTGTGAGAAAATTGTCCAGCATCCACTGCCACACACGCAGATTGATATGATATACCAGTTCAGTACTCTTTTCTGTTTCTAACGAAATTTTACTTTCTTCATACTTTGTTTCGCATTTGGAAGGCATTATTCGCTAACAAAATAAATATCTATAAATAAAAACAAATATAAACATAAAAATGTCTTAAAATAATTGTCGGACTTTTTCACAATGTGTGACGTCATTTGTTTACATTCGGATACGCATCGAGTAGATATGAATGTACATGAGAAAATCATGGAAAATTGTAGTTAAAAACAGTAAAATCGACCTTGCTAACCGAACGCTCCTCTGTGGCGAAATCGGTAAAAGCACGTCAGGCTATATGACGGTTCCGTATAGGATACAGGCTCGATTCCTGTCGGAGGACGAATATTTTCTATGACAATTTCTCGGACATTCAGGCCGGTAAATGTCGTTAATACTGTTTATTATAAACAGAGCATTTACTTAAATATTTGTATCTATACAAAAGAATGTATAAACATAAAAATGTCTTAAAATAATTGTCGGACTTTGTCCATTTCATAATATATATATATATATATATATATATATATATATATATAATAAACACACGCTCACGTCGACGGCGCTACAACAGTCTTTGCCCACCAGCTCTACGAAACTCACCATTTGTCTTTACCTACCCTGATGATGATGAAGAAATATGGTCCAGGCTTTTTGACTTAAGAAAATTGAAAGCTTGGAATATATTTAATCCAAAATTTATTTTGGACAATTTCTGACGGAATTCTCTCTTTATCTGAGAAGTATTAAAAAAGTGTTGAGAATGAAGCACCCCAACTCCAGAGACTCGTAGATGTATAATAGACTGTAATAAAAAAATTTATGTGTTGCAAAGTATATTTGTTCTTACCGAGATTTTAATAAGCATAACCTATATATTTTATTTGTTTTTTTTTTTTTTTTTTTTTTGTTTTGTTTTTTTGTTTGTTTGTTTATTTTTTTATTTGGGAGTGGGGTCTTCTTTTGCTTATTAAGTTGAGTATTTTCACCTCTTCACTTCAGGGAAGCATTTTACAGCTTTAGTTTGGGAGATTGGAATCCTCAGCATCAGTAATCCTGCGTTTTCAGAGCATTATTGACGAAAAATTATGAATTATTTGTTTGAAGGGGTTAACCGCGGATAACTGAAACCACGAAAAGTGAACACCCATGAAAATGGGAGAAGACAGTACTGCAAAAGTCACAAAATGATTGTTTTGTTTCTTTAATCGAATCACACAGACACGCGCACACACACACACATACGCGCGCGCAAAAAAACACAGAAAAACATGCACACAAAACACACACAAACATACATAAACACACAAACACACACGCAAACATACATAAACACAAACACACACACAAACATACATAAACACACAAACATATATAAACACACAAACATACATAAACACACACACAAAATACATAAACACACAAACACACACGCAAACATACATAACACACAAACACACACACAAACATACATAAACACACAAACACACACACGTATGCACACAGTTATTTCAATCGATGGTTTCTGAAGTTGAACGTTTCATAATTTTTGTGAGATCCTGTATTCTTATTTCACTCATTTTCTTCTACGGATTTCTTTCTATGCCTATTTTGTTTACGCGCGTCAGTTAAAGAAAGCAACAGGTAACTACTCCACTTATCTTACCCAAGAAATCATAGCAATTCGGATAAGAAAGAACAGAAAGCCATCGCTTACATGCTGAAGGGAGATGGTAATTAAAATGGTAATATTAACGTTTTCTTATAAGGAAACATTTGGCATTCATTAACCGAGCATCCAGTGCTCCTCGAATTATGCTTTTCTTCACTCCTTAGCCATCGGGCTGGGATCAAAGTGTAATATCTGTTCTCCTCATCTTTAAAGTTAATGGTAATATTAGCCGTTTCCTTATAAGGAAACATTTGGTATTTATTGACCGATTAACCAATAATACTGTCGGTTGAAATTTATAAAAATCTTTCTCTTAATAGAATTTTTCACAAAAATTACAAGATTTCTCAAGTCCATTATCTGTTATAGTTCTTTCTATTATTGATGGTGGCTTCTGTCCTAACTTTTTGTTTGATGTAGTGTGGAACATCAACATTTTGATTATATCATTATTTTCTCTTCGAGTTACACGTGATATCCATTTTAGTTACTGCTGCTGTTGTTAAAAGTATTCAAGTGATGTAGTTTCAGTTATTTGTTAAAGATCTTTATTTTTTAATTATGCAGCTCCAGTTGGGATGTTCGTAGAAGGATGGTTCTCGTTAAGACCTACAGGATACTTCATTCGCAAAGAAGCTATTTTTAATCATCGACCTTAGAAAGTGGTTGTATACTGCTGAGTGTTTAGATATTTGAGAATGAGTTTGGCATCAGGCAAGATATGAACGTCACGACCTGACGAGACTATTTAAGAACTTGATTCCTGTTTCAGGTTAATGTTTTGGTTTTGTAGCAATTTGCGGTATTAGGCAAAACTACCACTACCGTAGCCGATTCTATGTTCAATTTCATTATCTCCTATATATGGCATTTAAAAATGTCAGCTGAGCATATGATCTCTTTTTAACTTCATTTTTTCTAATCAAAATTAAAACCCAACGTAAAATCTGCTAAGAATTATAAAAATCAAAACTGAAATCTTGATAGATAGATAGATAGATAGATAGATAGATAGATAGATAGATAGATAGATAGATTTCGTGAAACTTTAGACGGACGCGTCTCTCGTTTAATTTGGAACGCCACAAATTATACTAACATTAGTTTAAAAAGTCGAATGCACGTAAAACGTAATTAACCAATGAAAATCAAACAACACAAAAGTAAGAATACCAGAATTCCTTTCTTCTTTTTCTCCATATCTCATTCTTTGATGAAGCTTTAATAAAAGTGAAACATATTAGATTGATAAACGTTCCCTATTTGTTCTGTGTCTTATCATAGGTAGATATGAATAGACTGTGATAGATAGATAGATAGATAGATAGATAGATAGATATGAATAGACTGAGATAGAGAGATAGATATGAATAGACTGAGATAGATAGATAGATAGATAGATAGATAGATAGATACGAATAAACTGAGATAGATAGATAGATAGATAGATAGATAGATAGATAGATAGATAGATAGATAGATAGATATGAATAAAGTAAGATAGATACATAGATATGAATAGACTTAGCTATAAATAGACTGAGATAGATAGATAGATATGAATAGACTAAGATAGATACATAGATATGAATAGACTGAGATAGATAGATAGATAGATAGATAGATAGATAGATAGATATGAATAGACTGAGATAGATATAGACTGAGATAGATAGATAGATAGATAGATAGATAGATATGAATAAACTAAGATAGATAGATAGATAGATAGATATGAATAGACTGAGATAGATATATAGATATGAATAAACTGAGATAAATAGACTAAGATAGATAGATAGATAGATAGATAGATAGATAGATAGATAGATATGAATAGACTGATTTCTCCCTTCCCTGGACAATGTGGATTTAAACGATAGAAATCATGAAAGACATTCGAAGATAGAATTGGCATTGGAACATAAACATCTGGACCATATAAATCTGTATTTTATTCGCCTTGACGTAAACATTCGCAGTTTTATTCACTGAAATGTCACTCCTGTTATGTCTATGTCATTATTTGACAGTACAAGTTTACAGAATCTACTTCAGCTGAAGAAACACGTAATGTGCAACATAGGTGTGCGGCTGGTGTAATGGATAGCTGCTAGGAACGCGGACTCGAAGAGTCAAGTTCGATTTCTAGACGAGTTCGTTACATTTACAAATACCCTTGGTGGAAGGTATGAATCCAGCTTCTAGCCTGCCCCTGGCCGGCTATGGCTTAATTTATATATCGCTGAAAATTACGAAATTATGAAAATAAGAATCACAAAACTTTAAATCGGAAGAGAGTTCCACAAGCGAAAAGTGCGATAGAAGAGACTGTTTGCATAGAACTTACAGTTACATCTAGCCATTTCAACTGCGCAATGATGAGACCTTGACGCCAATCTAGTACTGCGCTCAAATTCATAAAGTCTAGGTACAATAGCGGAAAGTAATATTTATTTTGAAAGAATACAAAAATGTGGTTCAAGGCCAAAAGTGGGAGTAGGGGAAGCCTGGTCTTCAATCTGTCATGTTAAGATAAGACTTGACTAAAATTTAGCTAATCACAATTATTAACCCAAACATACAACAGTATTCCTTACACCAAAACAAGATATTCTTACTTACCATTCTTACTACATCCACCATAATACCACAAAGTCTCTATGAAGTCCTAACTAGTTCCCATATGTACAATTTGTCTGTGTAGGGTGAGGATTAAAAATAACAATTTTTAAAAATGAAACCCTAATGAATATTAATAATGGTGGCATAGCAGAAAGTTCGTCAGAACAATTACCATTAAAGTATTTATAAAAAATGTACAGGGAAGCGACGTTACGTTGAAATAACGATATTGTAGCATCAGACTTGCAACGTTGCGCCGATGAAAAAGGTGGTAAAGTGAAAAATGTTTTCTCTCACTAGAACGCATATACGATTTCGAAATCTATCAATGTTAGAAGGTGAATATTGAGCAGCTCCAGTCCAGATATGGCAGCAACACTCCATTTTGTTTTTTTTGTTTTTGTTTTTTTGTTTTTGTCATTTTACGTCATTTTTATTTTTCTATCTTGCTGGTTTGAGCAGATGAGAAAACCAGCTTGAGGTTAGACCGAGTTATTCCGTGCGTCTCGTAAAAACAGATCACCGATATAAGAAACCCTGGAGGCGAGTATAAAAGAAGTTATCAGTTTTATTTCCAGTTGCGCTGCCATTTTAAGTGAAAGATAACCATTTCCATGACTTGTGGCGAAATGGGAAAATCACGTTGTACATAAAATAAACGCACTCACTCACACACATACACGTATATATATATATATATATATATATATATATATATATATATATAATAAAAATAGCTGGCCACTCGTATTCGAGGATACCTGTCTACTAGCCAATCACTATTGCAGACGCTCGCTCAGACACATTTGTGTTTGTTCAACACCCATATATATATATATATATATATATATTAAAATGAATCATTCATACAAAAACTAAATTAGTAAAGTTAATGATATAAAATGACGAAATCCTTTCGTAAACAAAATTTTAAAGGTGCATTAACCTACAAATCACACGATGAATGTTATAATCCTTGTTTTTAAAATTATAAACTGTATAAAGTCTTTCGCAACTACTTTCAACTGTACATTCAGTCATCCTCAGGCATAGAAAATATTTTGTTTTTGGTAAAATTCAGGTAGCATCCGAGACGAAAAAATTTCGCCATTTTATATCATTAACTTTACTAATCTACATTTGTATGAATGATTCATTGTAATATAAACTGAACTGCACCACACACACACATGCGCGCGCACATACATACACACATGCATACACACACACACATGCACACATATACACACACACACACACACACACATATATATATATATATATATATATATATATATATATATATATATATATATATATATATTCCATCAAACTAAAAGAAGCTTAAGAAATCTCTCCCCATATATATATATATATATATATAATGAACTCTCCCGTCGGTTTCGACATATGAGGATCTGACATCTTAATTGATTCTGTTAATTTTGTGCGATAATCTTAAGACAATGCAAGTAAACTGTGTGGATAAGAATGAACGAATCAAGGTAAACCGCCAGACAACCTACACAAGTAATTTGATTAAAGTGGTGATAGCTTGTGCAGAACCATCCACACTTTTCGGAACTACTGATACACACAGTGGGTGCAAATAAATGCCATAGATGAAGCAAACAATAGACCTAAGGCTTTTCGTGTAAGAGTTTTCCATCTCCTAGACCAGTCGTGTTCTATAACACTAAAGAGTTTGGTCAACCCTCGTAGGCACTATTTGCCCATAGCTGGAACCCTAACAGGTGCTACCACCCCGGGTCATGGTGGACCTGGGAACAACAGCAATTAAAATGTGGTTCCACGCTCCTCAAATCCTCCAATCTCCCGATGAGAAGACTTGCTACTAGATATAGTTTATCGTCATACCCAGGGCATAATATATATTAATCAGTTCATCCCAAGCAAGGCGATAAGGGACTACTGTAAGTGAACGTGACGAAAAAGACATTTGAAGGAACCGGAAACACAATAATACAAATTTCAGAGTGATTTTAGGCGGAGAATTTAGAGGTATTGAGTTAAAGTAGAATATAGATGGAACCGGAAACCCATTCCTAGCCAGGAAACAAAGGATAAACCTCTACTCCTGTCCAGTATATATATATATATATATATATATATATATATATATATATAATAAAGATCTGTAATGTAATTGATTCTGACTTGGCAACTCGACTTCAATCACTTTTTCACCATGACGTGGCTTCCCTCTGTCTTTTCTACAAGTATTTTCACTGCTCTGACCAGCTTTTTTCCCTGATGTCCCGGGGACATAAATATAAGCGAAATATATGCTGAAAGCAAAAACGAAATTGATAATCTTGAAACTAAATTCGAAAAAATTCCGTCCTCAACTATACCTATATATATATATATATATATATATATATATATATATATATATATATATAAAAATGAGGACTGCAAAAAAAGCACCTTATATTTAATATAGTGATATTTATTTATAATATATGAATTTTTACAGAAAAGAATTAAAACTTGGTTACTTACAATTGGATTTTCAGTGTTTTGTCTTAGAAAAATAATTTGTTGGTTTTCTATTTTTAAAACTTTTTCCCTTTAACCGGTTTCGCTTAGCTTTTCAAAAAGTTTTTAACTGTTTCTGTCTCCACGTGTTGATGTTTATATTTTGTACCTATGAAATGAAAAAAAATGAAAATCAAGGTATGTAACTGATTATATATGTCGTTTATGGTAAGGGGAATTTAGTAGAATCTATTTATGCAATGAATTAAGTATAAGTTCGAACTTGTTGATGAAAATGTTTCCTTATTAATCCGCCTTTGTTCAGTGATTCTGTAGTTGCACTGGTAGAATGGGAAGACACTAATGTATATATATATATATATATATATATATATATATATATATATATATATATAATAGATTGCGTTCAAGCATGAAACAGATTCCTGTCACTCGGTGTTGTTCTCAGTGCCCACTTTTATATTTTTATATCTACATACACTCTGTCTCTAACAGTGAGCACTTTTACTCATAAATATAGCATACTTTAAATTATATTTTTATCATATATATATATATATATATATATATATATATATATATAAAAAAAGAAACGGAAGTAGATGTCAATGAATAGACACCCATATCCCCCATCCTAACTTGACCGAATTTGCAATCACAATACATGACGATACAAGAATCAGCTTAGAACCTGACCATCCCTAAATAATAATAAAAATTAAATTAAATTGAAACCCACAACAAAAAATTAAGATTGTCTACACTAATATTAAGTAAATCAATTTCTTAGAAAGTTATTCTTAAAATCGCTTGATAATGGAGCGAAACTCTGTATTGTAGATTTAATTTTTAAAATTAATCTAGATTTTAAGTTTTCCGTTTTGAAACATAGGATGTTCTGTGTCGCGATGGAGCCATATTTTTAATAAAATATATATATATATATATATATTCGAATCTCTCCGTCGAATTCGATGTATGAGGGTCAAGCAGATCAGTTCCTAGGAAATCGACAGCCCGACAACAGTACATGAGATTAGATTATAGTGGTGAAGGTTTCGTGCAGGACCATTCACACTTTTTAAAGGGCCGAATACAGAAACCTGGTGCACTACGTGTCACACTCCCAATCTTTGAATTTCAACATACAAATGCGTATGTATAGACACAACACCACCCGTATACATACATATGTCATATCCGAAACTGCCCACATATGTTTATATATGTATGAATCCCGACGGACGACCAAGTATGTATATGTGTCTGCGTACTCCATTAGACGTATGAACATACATCGATGTTTGCGTCAGTACGATGACATTTCCCCCACCACTTCCATAATAACACCAATACACGCAATCTACATGAACCCAAAATTTTTAAAAATTAATCAGTTTGTCTGACGATCGCTAAAGCGTGAAACCCAGGGTCACAAAACTCACATCTATCCAACCAAATATATATATATATATATATATATATATATATATATATATATATATATATATATATATATAACTGAACACTGTATGAGCCATTAGCTAACAGGTGTACGGAACTAATAGTCGTACTAACAAAATTACAGAAAAAATTCAAAAAAGTAAGTTTATATATATATATATATATATATATATATATATATATATATATAAACTTACTTGTCCCCTAATTTTGCTAGTACGACTATTAGTTCCGTATATCTGTTAGCTAATGGCTCATACAACGTTCAGTTATCTAAATGAAGTAAGTGGTCAAAATGAAGTAAGT